CATCCAAGCCATCCAAGTCATCCAAGCCATCCAAGTCATCCAAGCCATCCAAGTCATCCAAGTCATCCAAGCCATCCAAGCCATCCAAGTCATCCAAGCCATCCAAGTCATCCAAGCCATCCATCCAAGTCATCCAAGCCATCCAAGTCATCCAAGCCATCCAAGTCATCCAAGCCATCCAAGTCATCCAAGTCATCCAAGCCATCCAAGTCATCCAAGCCATCCAAGCCATCCAAGTCATCCAAGTCATCCAAGCCATCCAAGTCATCCAAGTCATCCAAGCCATCCAAGTCATCCAAGTCATCCAAGCCATCCAAGTCATCCAAGCCATCCAAGCCATCCAAGTCATCCAAGTCATCCAAGCCATCCAAGCCATCCAAGCCATCCAAGTCATCCAAGTCATCCAAGCCATCCAAGCCATCCAAGTCATCCAAGTCATCCAAGCCATCCAAGTCATCCAAGTCATCCAAGCCATCCAAGTCATCCAAGCCATCCAAGCCATCCAAGTCATCCAAGCCATCAGTTCATTTGACACGTCACCTTAGGCATTTTGAGGGCCAAGAGCTGGACTCTCCAGAGATCCCCATCGGATGGGCACTGCCAATTCCATGCCGTTGGATATGCCGTGAACGAATCCCACCAGCGAGTCCGAGCAAACGCGCTGCAGTGGATGAAGGACCACAGAGCCGACTGCGAAGCCTTCGTTCTACAGGCACGGTCAGGATGGGGTTGGCTGTCCATGATTCATGGGAAGCAAATGATGGTTCAGCGTGGCAATCCGAGTGCTGTACAGTCAGGATTCCAGGACCAACGTGGCGGAATTCTTGATAGACTATCCGCCAATTTCTATGGAATGATTGCATGAGTCTTTAATCATTTCATTCTAGGGACTAAAGCCTGTAGAATTCCTGGTCTTTGGCACTGTCTCCCTGCTCGAACGGACCTCGATTTCAAAGATGTCCGTGCAAGTGACACAGCGTCGTTTGATTAAATGCAAACTTTAAGCTAGATCCTCGCTTTCATCAGATTCAGACTCAAGAGCACACAGCGTTGCATTTAAGTTTCTTGTCGTTGCATTTAAGTCTCTATGCGTTTTTGTTTATGTTCACCTGGGTTGATAGCTTGACTTGAGGATGAGAAGGCCAACAAAGAACACGCCTTCGATGAGTTCCTCCAGGGCATTGCAGGCGTCGTGAGTTGGGATAGTTAGCAGTCATCAGTTGTGTCCGTTGAAGACTTCGGTTTAGACATGTTTCGGAGAATTGTTTGTTTTGGACCGATTCTGTGTGGGATTTTTCTGCAAGTCTCAGGTATTGACTGGGGAAACAATTTGACTTTGTACGCGCTTGCTCACCACTACAAGCGGGAGATTTGCGTGCTGACAGACAATGTGATCAATCCTTGGTTGCGGATTGAACCAACCTTTGGCAATCCAATCCATGTCGTCTTTTATGCAGAACTCCACTATGATGCTGTACAGATGAGAGCATGATAAGATTTGGACCTCAAGGCAAAACCTTTTCTGATTGAAACAATTCATATTTCTAGATGTTTCTGCCACTTTGGAACTTTCGGTATAATTGACAATGGTGGAAAAACATGGAAAAACGTAGTGGCGAATAGAAGCTGTTGTGTTGGGTATGCCTGTAGGTCCACACTGCGGGACCACTTAGTAAGTGCACCACCGCGTTGCCAGAAGCGTCATTGCAGCGTCATTGCTTCGGCCAATGAAACGAGTTGCTTGAGCCTGTATTACACTGTAAACCTGGAATCTGAACACGGACACATAGACTACTTAGGGATCTCCTGGATGTGCTCGATCTTCCAAGTGTTGAAGCAAGTTGGCATTTTGCCATAGTTCTGGTTCGCCAGTAAAATGTTGTATGATAATTAAATTGTGGCTCACCAGCAGCTGCATGCTAGAGCTGTCCATGAAGAAATTGAACGGCTACACTCATACTATCCCCATACTGTTTGCGGCTTGGCACAGAGGCCCAGCAGAGTGGCGAACTCATGATGACTGGTGCCTCTCTTGTTTGGTTGTTTTTTCTCTGTTTAAGATCAGAAAGACTTCAGTTATATAATTTGCATCTTGTTTCTTTGCCATTGGTTGAGGTGCCCCTGTGTACGGGTACAGACCGGTTCATTGCTTCATTAGTTTCTCACATTGGTGCTGTGGGCTGCTCACCAGTCCATGCAACCCATCATTCGCCGAAACCCAAAAAGTGCAAGCTGGTGCCGTGATTCGACCTGTTCATGAATCATGCCTGGCCTTCACCATATGTTTGGACAACGGCACATGTGCTCCAGTCATGTAGCATGCACCGGTGATAGCCTTTCGTGCTGGAAATGATCTGCCACTGAGCCGTTGTTCAGACTCAAGCAGCCTCAGCACACGGGCCAGAACAAGATTCTGCAGCTTCCAGCAGGTGGCCATTAAAAATTATTTGATGGTGGAAATAATGATTTCCCGTGTAACTTCCCGCAAATTGACCCAGTGATTATTTGTGTGTGATGTATTCATAGCTTTTAATTTGGGGGCACGGCATGACTCAAAATTCAAGACATGGTCATTTCAAGAAACAACCATCGCAGTTTTTGAACACCATCCAGAAATCCGAGGCCGGCAATGGAAGATTCCACTGAGAAATCATTGAAAAATACCATGTAAATACCATGTATAGCTTGGCGACTTGGACGATTCTTCTGGAGAGGGGCCCAGTGAAGGTGCCGGTATTTCAAAAGGCAATCCCTCCGGTCCCACAGTGAAAGATGATGGTTTTGTTTGTACAAAATGTGATTTCAACAGCAAAAACTCATGGATTTATGCAACAAACATGCGAATACAAAAAAATGAACGTATAGGGATCATATCCTTTGAAATGGGTTGGATTAAGCTTGAATTCTGGGGATGAATCCAACTGCTTATTTCACAAGGATGTAATTGGATACAATGATATGTATACATCGTGGTGTAATTGTAGCCAACAATATGACACCGGTATTTTTTCATTGGAGTCAGAATTCAAAACCAAAGTCCACCTTATGTGTTGGTTTTGTTGACAGCATGTTTAGAACATTGCTGTCTGTGAGGCAAAACCGCCCATGTCCTTGGGAACGCCGATTCGTCGGGTCCTGATTTTTTTTGTTTTTTTTCCGCAGCGGATTCTATCCCAAAAGGATCAAAATTAACTATAAATTGACCAGAATTCACCGGTGCTTTTGCAGTGTTCTTCTTTGGACTGACCATTTTTGACCTACCAAAACCAGGTCTCAGGTGGCGCTGTGCTCTCGTTAGGAGGTGGTGACCAGTGGGCCAGGTGCGGCATCTGCAGAGCATCTGAAAAGGTTGATGATGGTTGATGTAACCCAGAAATCCCAAGAAATCCATTGAGAATGCCATTGGGCATTTTTGCGAACTGAAATCCATTGGGGAAAAATCATCTACGTTAATCGCCCAATCGATGGTTAGGTGCTAGACATGACCAAGATCCTGGCAGTACGAGTCTCACAATGATTCACCCGTTGAAACGTTTTGAACTCATAGTAGAACGCTTGGTCCAGATGAAAGCTTCGGGTTGCAAAAACTTGGAAATGTGCGGCCAAACGTTTTCTACAGCAATCCCTCTTTGGATCAGGAATCTAATAGTGATAAGGGTGATTTTCAGAATGGTTTCAGGTGTTGTTTCTTTCAGTATCTGCATCCTAGGCCTCAAGCAGGGCTTTGTGGCGTGGTGTGGCGCGCCGTTTGAGGCATCTCAGAAGCTGGGGATGGTGGGGATATCACCCAGCAAGAGCTGGGATTTCACCGTCAATCCAACAAGAATTCGGACAATTTTAGAACTAGGAAGATGGGGAATTTGCATGATTTAAGCAAGAAAAGATCCCAATAACATATAGAAACATAGTGATCTAACAAGCAACAGCAGGTATTTCAGCAAGAAAAATGGGATACAAATTGACCAGCAAAGCTCCAACAAACAATGGGTAGCATAATCAAAAGACCAAGATTTAACATATATCTTAGCCACGGACAGAGTAGTAACTTGAGATAGAGATAAATCCAGGGAAGATCAGCAAAGATAAGGATAGAAGCGATAGAAGTGATCGCGAACTTGGGATCTCACCACGCCTTGAGCATCAGTAGACTCTGAGGGACTCTGAGGGCCTAGGGACCCTGACCCAGATTTGGATACGGGTCAAACGGTCAAACCGTTGTACAAGTTGTATTGTGGTTTCCAGACCAAAATGGCTGGTTCTGACGGACGTTCATCTTGATTATGGTTGTTGGTCATATCCTTAACGGTTTTCCTCATTTTTCTCGTCACCCATAAAATTAAGTTAGGCACCCAGATTTCCGGCCCCTTCAGATGAGCCTTGCTGGTGGCGGCCGATCTGGGCTTTCAAGGTACCAAATTTTTGGGTAAAGCTTGGTGAAGGGTAGAAGTGATCCTTTTGCAGTATGTATATATATATATAAAATATGTTTGTACATAGTTGTATAGACAAAAATTGAATGAAATACGATAAATACGAATGGGGAATGGAACACCTAAGTATTTGTTTGGCAGGGCATCTAAGATCAGCCCCAAGATTCTGCCATTCTCCCCCAAGTGCTGGTGGTATGTCCCAATAATGCCTGGTTTCATCATGGGAAATCCCAGCGATTTCCCGTCAAGTCGTGAGGTCTGAGGCTGCTGCAGATGTACCACAGACTCCCACTGGCCAACGCGCCCAGAACATGTCTGGCATTTTTTTCGAATTTCTAGTACCGACCAAGCTATCCATTTTTGGGGCCATGTTGATCCATGCTTAGTGGGAATACAACAGGCAGAAACCAACAATGGGTGTCATCGTGGATGAAATCGGCAAGGTCAGCGCAAGAGATTGATGCGGATATCTCAAATCTGACACACACTGGTGATATCAACACATTGGTGGGAGAAGTCAACAACAAATTTGGGGATATGGATGTTAATGATTGTTAATGGATGTTCTCCTAACTTAGGGACCACCGTGGCCACCGGTTCAGCAAATAGGCCAAACTATTGTGGTTCTGGGACATCCTGGGTTTATTTTGAGGGTCTGCGTGGATTGCACGAACTGCATCATCGAAGGGGACATCTAGGGATACTGGGGATTGTCTTTTCAAAAAAACACGGTGACCACTGTACAACCTTCCGGGATCATTGGTCCAGGCCTTTCTTATTATTGTCACTGATGGGTCTGATTTCAAAGATTTTCTGCTTTGCAGCCTACTTTGGGATGCTTGATCAGATCTGAACCTCTTATCAAACCTACAGCAAAACCGACAAACAACTTTTGGATTATTTCTTGTTTTTTTTTCTCCAGACAACCCTCCTCAGACAGTGCCTTTGACCAGGTCCTTTGCGGCTGGGCGTGGGTTGCAACGCATCCGTTCGCCTTTTGACCAAGAACGGCGTGGTCTGGCGGTTGACTTTGGCGGTTGGAGTGCATTTTTTCAAGGAACCATCAATATATATATATATTTATAATATACACGCACACAATTTTTTTGTTTTCTAGGGTCTAAATGCTCTCTGAAGCCAAGTCTGGCGTCTTTGTTGATGCAACAACAAATGTTTCCAATCAACACATATTCGAACATTACATATGATATGAATTGAAGCAGCGATGGGGATGCAACCTCCTGCATGGCAATTTCAAACCCACCATGATCCAGAGGAATATCATCTACCTACAGCAGATCAAAGGTGGTGCAACATGTGGGTATCAGACATGGCTGGTAAGAAGACTGGGAAGGAAAAGAAAGGTTCTGAATAGGTGTACAATCATCACCAAAGTGGATATTTTTTTGGCAAGTCACCTTCCGTGCGGGCGGATTTTATGGCGAGATCCAATTTTTGTGTAGTTAAATTCTGAATTTTAGTAGTTAAATCACAATTTTGATGCTTAAATCCGTACTTTTCGTGGTTGAATCCACATTTTTACTGCTTAAATCCTTCAGAGCGATCCCTCGGTTCTGCGCCAGACCTATCACCAGATTGCAGCTCAGTCCTTTCCTTTGCGCAGCCACTCTTAGGTCACCAGTGTTGCTGGAGTGGCGACTTTTGAGACGGAGAGTGGATGGTCTTAGCAGTGGAGCAGGCATGTGGCAAACAAAGATGGGGATGATGGGGAGATAGCCTGAAACATAGGATTGTTGAGTCTAGCTCCATCATGTCTAGTTGTCCGCATGGTACCATCAACGAGTCTTGGTTGCGTATCGGAGGTGCATCACCATCAATGGCCACTTCAGCAAACATTGAGCGGCGTCGATCCCCCAAAACTTCTGAGATTCGCAACATTTGGTGACACCAAAGCATGATGGAACTGACAAAACCAAAGAACATATTTTGTGACTCATCACTGACATGGACGACTGTTGACACGGAGGTCTTGGCTGGTGAAGAGGCTGGAGTCTGGTTTTACCGCTTTTTGTTGGGCGGATCAAAGTAGAGCGACGGTGACTTTTCAGGTGAAGCTTGAGGTCAAAGGGTGATCCCAGCATCTCCAATTCCCCAGTATATTCTCATTATTATCCCATAAAATGGTTGCTTTCCAAATTCCATAAGTTATCCCATAAAATACCCCATAGAATATGTACCCACCTATATCCCATGAAATATCCCATGATGCATGGTCTGATGGCGAGGCCTGTAAATCCATTCAGTGCGTGGCGGGCTTGGCACTGGACACTGACAGCTGTCAACTGGAACAGTCTTGATGGATGTCGCTTGTTGACGGCTCCGAACGGTTCCAAACGGTTTGTTGAAGATGGGAGAAACAGTCAACTTAAGTCGACTGTGGATGATGAGTGAACAAAGTACAGGATATTTAGATTATTTAGGCGATCACATATTTCGTCGATTCTTGGGATGGTCACAGAGTCAAAAAGGTATCTTTTCTGCACATGGCTCACGGTGAGTTGGCTTGTAGCAGCTCCATCTACAACCAGTCCAGTAGAAACTGGAACCTGAATTTCCTGAAATTTGAAGCGTTTAAGGGTGTTGTATGGTATTGTTCTAAGTTGTTCTTCTTTCAGGCATGGGAGCAAATGCCCAACACATTTTGATGTCAGGCAGAGATGGGATATATATATATATGTATATATATATATGTATATACATACATACATATTGGTATGAATATATAGACAATACATAGACAATATCATATACATACAGAATGAACAAAGGCCATGTGCTACGTGCGGTTTCTTACTTTCTCCCTCAGTGTTGCAGCTGCTCTGCTGACTGTGGCGCGGTTTTTGGTGCCTCGGCCAACGACCGGGCTTCAGGAAAAGAGGGAGACCACAGAGAGAGACGAACAGAGTGAGGACCAATTCGACCAGTTCACCACAGAGACAACAGGAGTCACAGGAGTTGTCACCAGGGAGTCAGCTGGGGCTGGGTCAGCTGGATCAGCTGGGGCTGGCCAAATCGGCTCAAGTCTGTCGCAAAAATGTGACGATTTGCTGGGCAACTGGAACACGAGTCAGGATTTCCCGGTGATGCTCCTATCAGCTGATACGAAGGGACGCTTTGGAAACGAACTCTTTGTCACTACTACTGCCCTGATTCGTGCACAACTGACCAACCGTCCTGTGATGCTGAACCCCCAGCTGCTAAAGGCAAAAAAGAAGCGCCAGATACTGAAACTGCCTTGCATACACAGGGCCCTTCGTCTGCCCATGCCCCACATGTGTCCTGGTTGCACAGGAAATCTCACAGAGATTTGGGACGATAGGAGCGATGCTTGCAATTTTGGCCGTGGCTGTTTCGAGCTCCTCCAGTCCCAGAAGCGCTTTGTTGACATTGACCCTGGATACCACCAGAACCTGACCGAGTGGGAGAAGCCACCCTTGTCGTGGCGACCGCTGCTAGCTACGGCCTTCCAAGTAGACATGCCGTTGACTGGAATCGCGCTGCCTGGCGACAAGGATTTAGTGGTGTACTACCGGAGCTACAATGGGGCAGCAATATTTGACGTTCGGGCTTGGGGTGCGACCTTCCTGCACAGTCCCCCCTTTTCTTTCTTTGATTTTGCTTGGCAGCAACATCAGAAAAGTAATGCCGGTGGGAAACTGTGGGTGGTCTCCGACCCTGTGATGTATGAGCACCCCACCTTGCTGCGCTTGTGCAATGAGTTGGGGGCGGAAATAGTGAGAAGCACATCAGAGGCGGGGAAAGACGCCTGGTTGGCAGATTGGGTTTGGTTGAGAGAGGCCAAGCATCTGGCCATGTCTGCAAGCACTTTCTCGTGGTGGGCTGCATACCTTAGCGATGCTAAGCGCATCTACTACCCCTTTTTCCCGGGAATGGCAGCTCTGCCCTGGTGTGACCTTATGGTTGTGGGAGATCCCAGATATTTGTACTATGACATCTTTACCAATGCCAGTTTCAACGATGGAGCAGTGGCAAAGGACCACTGCCTAGAGTACGTTCGTTGCAGAGGAGTTCAGTGTGCCATGAAGAAACATCGCCGGGCAATCGCAAACTTATACCCAGAGCTGTTGGCCCTAAAGAATTCCAAGGATGAAACCGCCCTCAGAGCAGTGCCACCTTGAGTAGCGCACCGGAAAAATGGCAAGTGGCACCACAGTATGCACGATGGGTTTCTGACAATAAAAAGGGATGTCCATTGGTCAATAGAAAAGAACACTCAAAACTCAAATCTGATGTATTGTTTCGGAAGACGAGGTCTGGCCCAAAAAGAACAATCCACGGTTTGTGGAGGCTGTTGACACAGGTGTTTCTGTAGTGACTGTAGTGCCTCCACGACTGCACCGATGTACTGGGTTGGCTATCTCCAAGCTGCTCACACATATCCCATCCCTAATTGGATTGGTTTTATTGAGCGTTTGAAGGAACAAGTCATATTGCATATTGCATGAAAAAAAATATGGTTGCACAGGTTTCACAGGTTTCAGAGATTCTTGTTCAAACCAATCCCTTGTCGGAAGTTCCAGTGGCGCACATGATTTTCACCATTGGATTGTAGGGGCGCCCCCCCAAAATGTGGATTCATTTGGATACACAGTAACCTGCAGAACTTGCATTGCAACCTTGTGGGCTATGGCCACCATTGGATATCCCATCCCTTCACCAAAGGTGGGCTATGCCACGAAAACTCGATGACTTCCAGATCTTGCCGAGGCCGCCTTCGATGAGAACTTAGCGACCAAAATGGTGATTGGAGCTATGAAAATGTATGGAAACAATGGAAATAGGATCAAAGTTATGGAAACTGCAACATAAGCCATGGACAAGGTGATTTAAGCGGTGAAAACCAACGTGGAATCCGCGAAAATGAACGTTCGAACGAAAGCTAAATTTCGGGATGATTTTGGATGATTTTGCTCGGGGCGCGTACATGCATGCGTGCATGTATGCATGCATACATTGCCTTACATTACATCACGAAAGGTACCCTGGGCTACCTGACTTCCATGTACTTTAGTACTCTTAAGTATTTGTGGCAGGGTCTGCCTCCAATCCCGGATTTTTTTCCGTTATGTCTTCGTTTTAGTCTTTAGGGGGGGGACCTGTTTTTGTTTTGGACCGAACCCTACCAGGGCATAGCATGAGTACTGAGCACAGTTTATATACGCTGTCAAGGCTCAAGAGAGAGATATAGAGGTATAGCTTGTACACTCCTGGGAAGACGCTCTAGCTGATCCTATCAGGACGCTATTGCCCTTCTTCAAGTGGTAGCGGAGCTGTGATCCTGCATTGCAGGTGAGCTCCAGGTAGAGCCCAATAATGGCAAACCATGGCTATGATGATGACTTCGACATTGTCGATGCAGATGGTTCATGGAACCAGCATGACTCTTATGCAATGAGAAGAGTGGATTGTTTGGGGCCATGGTTTTTCTACTCGCCACTAAGGCACTGGGCGCTTCATCGCCGAGCTGATGCTCTGTACGCGTGCCATCAAGCCACCAGTGACGTTGCCTGGACCAAGCTGGAGTTGATGGCTGAATATTTATATCCTCCTTTGTTGGTGTTAAAGCCATGTATTTGATAGTAGAAAAATACATCCAGGTGTTCCCGAATAGAATTGAAAATGTCAGAAACCAAACACAAGCAACTGCAGCAAGCTAGCAGCACTTTTGCTATGCAGTTGGCTTGTGCGGCTGGGTTTCTGTCAGATGCCAAACGCATCCATCACAAATCTGGTTTCATCTGAAACCCCAAGATACAGTGGTGGTGTCACACGTCTAATCCACCCAACCCGCCGGAGCGTTGAGCTCGCGCGAAGGAGAATCCATCAAGGGTTGTTAAGGCGGGAAATCACCACTGTCAAAAGAAAGTCAGCCGCAGCCACCTGGCTCCAGTGGACCTTAGGTGGCATTGTGGTCGGTCTTACGACGTTTGGAATTGTTACCCGAAGGTTTAGGGGCAGTCGTCTGGTCATCCAGAAGAGCCCACAAAAATTTAAAATGGGAAAAAGCCCCTCTCACTGGTAGTTGCCGGTCAGGGCGAAAGCCAATGAAGTCGGGATGGGTAAGTTCATCAGCCCATCGGTTGTAATCCCTCTTCATGTGCGAGGGCGCCAATTGGACCCCTGCAGCATGGATCATGACGATGAGTTGCATGAGGAACGCCGAGGTTGGCATATGCTTCGTCTTCTGGTTCAAGAGGGCGAAAATGTTGCCTTGATTGTCGGAGATGAGACTAAGCCGCGGAGTAACGACTTCCCACCCAAAATCAAGAGAAAATGGGTAAGGACCAACGTGCCGAACATCTCCAGGGCTGCATTTCTCCTCGTTGGGTCACCATCTTTGTGAGCCCAGGAGTGGTCTTCAAGGGGTACCTCGTAGTGAAACCACCAGGTCTGTTCCTTTGAAGGGTTCTCACAGTCTGCAATCCAACCACCAATGTAGGCCCGTCCACCGGGTGTGCACTTGCATCACTAGCACCCCACCAATTGGATGCCGGATCATAAGGACAGGGCTGGATTTGGGGGTTGTGGAGAAGTTGAAGAAGGAGCCTGGCAAAGGACCGGATAAGTTTGCTGGGCTTACCGGAAGATGTAGTAGCTGATTTCCAGGCCCAAAAGGGTTGGAGGAAAGGACGGCTAAGAGGCCATGCTGCCGTCGCCCAGTTCAATCTTCCCAACGCTCGCTCAATCTCCTTCGCCGTGAAGGAGTCGCCGGAGGCAATTGTGTGAAGGAGGGTCTTGAGTGTGGATCTCTTGTCCATGCGGAAATCCACCACCGGTCCACAGGGGTTGACCTGAAATCCCAACCAGGTATTGACCTCAGATAGCACTGTCTTGTGCCAACTCAAGGGCACCCCAGAGCCGCTAAGAAGAGGAGTAGCTTTGATGTATCCTCAGTGGCCGTGTCTGTTCTAAGGAGCCAGCAGAAATCGTCCACAAAAACAAAGCCCCAGTCAATCTGTGGGAACACCATGTAGCACAATCGAAGGAGGAGTGCAGCCATTCGGCCCCAGTAAAGTTGGGCACTGGCCATGCCATAAGTGCCGACTTTGTTGATCCACCATTCTCCATCAAGTTGTGCCACCTGGTAACGCCATTCGTTAGATTGGACCTTGATTCGGCGATGTGCCTTAGAGACATCCGCCTTCATGATTGCCCAGGTAGTCTGTTTGCGCGGAGGGTGCCACCCTAGGTCGGTGCCAGAGGCTACCGTCCCAGTGGATTTCTCCCTTGTGGTGTTCAGCCAATGGATGGCCTGGACGCAGTCCATGACAGTGGGAGCAGTGGTCTTTTCCACGGTGTTCTGTTGGATGTGGGAGTTGGCATGACCCCAACTGCCGTCATAGATCGTGCGGATTTTGTCGCCTTCGTCAATGGCTGCCAGAGGCCCTGAGCAGAGTTCGGCTGGAGTGCAGCCACATCTGAGGGCTGCTTCTTCTTGGGTGAGTGGGCCTTCCACCATGCCCATGTCTACCTCTTCAACGAAGGTCTGCCTGACCTGGGATGAGAAATCTCTGGCAGAGGAATAGTTGTCCCTGCCCATTGGCAAGAGGAGATCTTCCCAGAGTGGGGATTCTCCTTTTAACTCCTCTTTGGTTGGCCATATGCCGGGTGATGTCCATGTAGGTGTGGTGACCCCCAGGGGCACCCCTGTGGCAATGTCCTTGGGGTAGAGCACGTCTACATCCCCACCAGCCTCCGCCAGTGCTGAGATAAGGTTGAGGTAAAACGGTTGCCCTGGAGCCACTTCCTCGGTGGTGTGCAGGTTCAACCCAATTGCTTGGGCAATGTGTTGCCTCGTCCTCTGAAGGAGCTCCGGAGGGAAAGGGTGTTTCCTGTCACTTCTGTTGATGGACATTTGGACCTCCTGTGCGCAGGATTGGGCCAAGGGAGCAATAGAATCCCCAATGTGTGCAATTTTGGACTGGGGTCGGAGTGGAGGCGGTCTCCTCCCTGCTGAGGGTTTGCCCCCTCCGTCTCTCAATGGTCTCATCTTGAAGCCAGATTGGACAATGATGGGGTCATCTCCCAATGTCATGGCTTGGGAGAGGGGGACTGAAGAGGAACGATCAGTCCTACCAGGGGGTTCTCCGGTCTGCTAGCATCCCGTCACGGGGGGGCCCTTGTTTGGTAAACTTCTGATGATTGCCGCTGCCAGTCACTATAGGGGAGGACTTGAGCCAAAATGGTATAGCCATTTTGGCAACTATATCGTCAACACATTACTTGCTCTCCACAAGTTCCAAGCAAAGAAACAAGTGTTCCCGAATAGAATTGAAAATGTCAGAAACCAAACACAAGCAACTGCAGCAAGCTAGCGGCACTTTTGCTATGCAGTTGGCTTGTGCGGCTGGGTTTCTGTCAGATGCCAAACGCATCCATCACAAATCTGGTTTCATCTGAAACCCCAAGATACAGTGGTGGTGTCACACGTCTAATCCGCCCACACCGAAGGTCGGGGTGACACCACCACGCCAAACCGAAGGATGGAACCCGACCAAGGGTCAGGACCTCGCCCCCTCGGTGCTATTGGCTACCGCAGGATGGAGGCCCCTACCAAGGTTGCTAAGGTCCCTGCTGGCAGCTTCTCATCTTTCGATGCTGTGTCATTAGCATCATCGGAGAGAAGGTCTGAGCTCAAAGCGTCTGAGTCCGAGTCTGAGGTGTCAGCTGCTTCAATTTGCATGGCAGTCCCCCAGTCTGCTGGGAAGTCATGTGCTTTGAAGCACCGGGTGCATTGGGCGTACTTGTGTCGCTCTTGTCGATAGTCTTCTGGATTCAGGCCAAGAGCCTTAGAGGCCGATGGTTGCCAGCCGCAGCCCACCGCCTTCCCATCCTGGTTGTCATAAGCCCCGTTGAACGGTTGGCTTTTTAGGCACTAACCACTCGGAGGGAGGCCCCCTGCGAGGTAGTCTCCGGGAGACCTGGTGACCAATTGATCTTTTGCCAACTCCCTGCCGATGAATCTGGGGAGGCCACTTGTTTCTCAGCTAAGGCCTGGCGCCTGGACTTGAATGGTGGTGATCCTGACTTTTCCGGACTGTCTCTCGGGGGTGATGGGTCCAACTCGAGGACCTCGGTGTCCCAGTCCTTGTGATCCAAGTCTATGGGTACTGCCTTGGCACCCGTAAGGTCGAG